GACACACCTGATGACTGGTCTTCTATGGCTGCCTGGTTTTCCTCTTTTCTTATCGGTGTGGTGTTTTGATGGGTCTTGGATTTTTCCTGGGTGTAGGGATTGCTGTGTTTGTCTATACTAATGGTGTGGTCTGTGCCTCCAATTACAGCAACGCTGTCTGTCCCTACAATGACTCCTCTCCTTGGGGCCCTCAGGGGCTTTGCGGAAGAGGAGGAATGCATCAGATTGTAAGAGCCAGCCTCTGAGGGGTGAACTGAGGGGAAAACAGGCTTTGCAAGGTCGAACATGGCTGCCCTCATGCTTTCCGTTAGTTCACTGCTGTTTTCTAAGCCGTTGTTATGTGACCTTGCTCAGGCAGTCTTATATAACTCTCTGGCTCATGGCTACCTTTGTCCTTGACCACTATAAAACCTCCCCCCACCCCCCTGCTGGGCACGGACATCTGCTTTGGTCCTCCTGCCGTCAGGACTACTGTGTCGTTTTAAGTCTCCCTAATAAAGCTGCTTCGCCGCCACACTGGAGTTGTCCATTTCTTTCTTCAATCTCTCAGCACTCTCCATTTTAAGAGGCAAATTTCAAGTTACTGGTCCATGCCTGGACAGTCAATATGAGTTGGAACTGACTCAACTGCACCTAACAACAACAAAAGCTTATATAAGGAGCCCTGCTGGTACAGCGGTTGAGGGCTTGGCAGTGTGCTTCTGTAAAGATTTATAACCTTGGAAACCCTATGGGCAGTTCTTCTCTGTCCTAAACTTGCTATGAGTCAGAATTGACTCAATGGCAATGAATATGGGTGGGTAGGCTTACTGTATATAAAGGAGCCCTGGTGGTGCAGCAGTTTAGTGCTCAGCTGCTAACCAAAAGCTCAGTGGTTCACTGAAAATAAATGTTGGAGGGGCTGCGGGGAGATCGGAACTCTTATGCACTGCTGGTGGGAATGCAAAATGATACAACCATTTTGGAAAATGATATGGTGCTTCCTCAGAAAGCTAGAAATAGACATCCCATTCGATCCAGCAGTCCCACTCCTAGGAATATATCCTAGAGAAATAAGAGTCATCACTCAAATAGACATATGCACATCTATGTTCATGGCAGCATTGTTTACAATAGAAAAACGATGGAAACAACCTAGATGCCCATCAACAGATGAATGGATAAACTATGGTACATATACACACTGGAGTACTATGCAACGAGAAAGAACAATGAATCTGTGAAGCATCTCATAACATGGATGAAACTGAAGAACATTATGCTGAGTGAAATAAGTCAATCACAAAAGGACAAATATTGTATGAGATCTCTATTGTAAAAACCCATGAAAAAGTTCATACACAAAATGTAACAATCTTTGTTGGTTACCAGGGATGGGAGGGGTGGGGGGGAAATACTAAATAGGCAATAGATAAGTGGTATCGGGTGAAGGGTGAGACAGTACACAATACAGGAGAAACTAGCACAACTTGTACAAGGAAAGCTCATGGAAGCCCCATAGACACATCCAAACTACTTGAGAGACTGAAATGCTGGGTGGAGGGCTGTGGGGACCATGATCTCGGGGAATATCTAGCTCAATTGGCATAACACAGTTTATAAAGACAATGTCTTACATTCTACCTTGGTGAGTAGTGTCTGGGGTCTTAAAAGCCTGTGAGCGGCCATCTAAGATACTCCACTGGTCTCATCCCTTTGGGAGCAAGGGAGAATGAAGAGAACAGGATACAAGGAAAAGATTAGTCCAACAGGGCACGTGGTCTGTGCTCAGTTGCACAGCTGTGGAATGAAGAAATGAGAGGATCTTGGATTCCCTTCCCGCTTCTGAGCAGCTTGGATTGTGGAGATGTATCTAATAATAGAAGGCACAAGTTCAAGGCAGTGGGATGGCCAGAATGGCCTAGGGGTGACTGTTCCTGGTCCCACTCTAGCAAAGGCCAAGGGGCCCCACTGGCAGAAGAGGCTGCTGTCCCCAGATGGCCATCCCGAGCGCTGCAGCTCCAAGCAGGAAACCTCACTGAACAGCTCACATCTTTGTGCAGGTATCCTCAAGGCAGTAGCTCTTCCGGGCCCCGGGGGGAAAAGCAGCAGGACCTGTAGGCTCCACGGGTGGTGTGAGGGACCTTGGAAGCCTCCCTTGCCCTCTCTTTGGCTCTACTGGCCCTGGGGTGTCTAGTTTAGTCACGAGGCACTCTCCCAGAGCCAGGGCCAAGACTGAGGCCCAACTTCACAGGAGGACCCCAGGGCTCCAACAGGGACTCGTCCTGAACCTGGACCCTGGACTCGTGCTCTAGTGCTCTGCATTCTTCTGTGCAAACTCAAGTCCCCAGTCTACCAGACTGCCAGTCATCTCATGGGCCATCAGTCTTTGGCTGATCTTGATTGTCCTCTCTCCTCCGTGAAGTTAGGTGAAGTCTGATGCTATCGTTTCACAGATGCCCAAAGTAAAGCAGCCTCACATGGAGAGGGGTTGGTCTGGGGTCCCCCACATCTTAGGGGCTCTCCTTTCTAAACAAACCCCATGGAAGGGAGTTGAGCCTTGGCCTGGGGGCCAGAACTTTCTTTATCCTCTGGACTCTGACTACTTTGTATCCTTGTCCCTATCTGTCATAATTTGAATTATGTCCCCTGAAAAATGTGTATATCAATTTGGCTGGGCCACATTTCCCAGAATTGTGTGGTTGTCCTCCATTTTGTGATTGTAATTTTATGTTAAAGAGGATTGGGGTGGGATTGTAACACCACCCTTACCCAGGTCACATCCCTGATCCAATGTAAAGGGAGTTTCCCTAGGATGTGGCCTGCACCACCTTTTACCTTACAAGAGAAAAGGAAAGGGAAGCAAGCAGAGAATGGGGGACCTCATACCATCAAGAAAGAAGCACCGGGAGCAGAGCACATCCTGTGGACCCGAGGTTCCTGCGCAGAGAAGCTCCTAGTCCGGGGGAAGACTGATGTTGACGAGGACATTCCTCCAGAGCTGACAGAGAAAGCCTTCCCCTGGAGCTGACACCCTGAATTTGGACTGCTAGCCTACTAGACTGTGAGAAAATAAACTTCTCTTTGTGAAAGCCATCCACTTGTGGTATACCTGTTAGAGCAGCACTAGATGACTAAGACACTAAGCCTTAGTTTCCCAATTGTTCAATGTGGGGTTGCACACAGAATGGTATAAGCGTGCACTCAGTGAGGATATGGGGCCCCACGTGATGGGGGTGGCGTGGGCCACGGCTGGGGTGCCTGTATGGGCTGCCAGCCTCCCTACCACAAGCAGAGGTGGGTGGACACTGTGTGAGGCAGGCAGACCTTGTTTCCATGGTGGTGTGCACACAAGGCAGCACTCAGGCCTGTGGGGATCTGCAGACAGTGCATGTGACCCTAATTCTCTGCATGCACATGTACATCAACTGCTCTGGTCATGTGGTCTGTCCAATGTGGTCTCCACCCCTCCACCACCAGCTCTGTACTCCCCACAGCCCTTCAGGTCCAGGAGTCGCCCCTACAACACTGGGCCGGGTGGGCGTGGTGAACGTGGAGACACAGGGCCTCATGAATGTCCCCCACTGCCCAGCCTGCCCCTGTGTCAGCCACTTTCTGCCCTTGCCTCACCTCTCAGTCTCACTAAGTTTCTCCATGGCCCGGAACTAAGCCCCAAAGTGCTCCTGGGTGCGATTTGGTCGTTCTCGCAGCCTGACTGGAGCAGCTGGATCTTAGCGACCACCTCCAATTCCTGGGCCAGTGACAAGGGCGGGACGCTGAGGGGCTTGGGTGGGGGTTCTGGCAAGTCAGGCACCACGGAGACTGCAGAAGCTGCTCACCGTCTTTCTCTTCTAGAATTTGATCATTCTCCCTGGAAGCAGACCACCTCTGTTCCTCAGAATAAGTCCCCTAGGCCATGACCAACCCCCCTACCCCTCTCATGTCGCACTACCTTGGTGCCCACCAGGGGACAGTGCATGCATATACACACACCAGGACTTGAGCATGGGTTGGGTTCTGGGCAGCAGGGCAGGGGGACCCAGGGCAGAGGCTCAGGTACCTTCTAACCCAACTCTCTGATGACAGATGGAGAGTCTGAAGCCTTGGCAAGGGGAAGGCACTGACTGGCCACTCACATGGTGCCTGACCTTGGAGGGGCTGACTTCACTCATTCTCCCCTCCATGGCCTCTGCCTGTGGGAGGGGCTGCTTCCAGCTCAGGCAGAATCTCAGGCAGCTCTG